AGAGATGAGGACTGCTGGGTTCCACTGCTGCCCACGGCAGCGTTCAGCAGCCCCATGGCACAGCCTAAGGCACACACACAGCTGTCAGCTCCCCTGCTCTGGGTTGGGGAAGCGGCCCTCCTGGCGTTTGGGGATGGAGCAGTGAGCAGAAGGGGCCGTGCAGCTCCCCAGTGGAGGAAATCTTCCCAAGTTGGGTTCTTCTCCCCTGTCCCCCACCCACAGAGCAGCACAGCCCCCACCTGGCGCTCCTCCTGCGCAGTCCCAGTGCTGGAGGGTCACTGTTTAATGCCTGCGGTCCCAATGCAATGAACCCGAGGCCAGCTGTCCCCATACACCGTCCCGTGTGCCGCCGATGGAGCAAAGCGGAGCTGCCAGGACACGAAGCCCCTCCGCGCCCCCTGCACAGCACAGTCTCACCTGGTTGCACAAAGAGGCATTTTATTGATTCTAGGAAAGAGCTGTGAAGTCCAAGTGCCGACAGGCGAGGTCCAGGCAGACCCATTGCTTCCCCAGCTCGGCATTAAGCCACGTCTTAAAGCTGCCCACAGCTCCACGGACGAACCTGCGCGGCCGGAGGCTGCCACCGTGGAGCTCCCGGCCCGGGAGCAGGGCGAGGAAACACTGAAAGAGTCCACAGGAGCTCAAAGCGGGCCCTCATTGGGTGACCACAGTCAGCTCCCGCAGGTAGGACTGGGTGAGGCCCCGCAGCTCCTCCAGGGCGTAATCCTCAGGCATGGGCAGGCGGCCCACGTGGGGGGCCAGCAGGCGGAGGGGCACGCGGTGCAGCTCAGGGCTGCCGTCAGCCAGCGGCTCCGGGCTGTGCTGCAGGCTGAGAACCACACGCAGCAGGTTGGCGATGCGCTTGGCCATGTCTGGGGGAGCAGGGAGAGGAGGTGAGCAATCGCGTCAGCTTCACACATCCGAAACATGTCAGCCCTCCCTCCCTTCACAGGAAGACGTGACAGTCAGAGGGGTTTGCCCCACACTTTGGAACGGGAATCTGCGTGTGAGCAGGGGGCTGGATCTGCTGGATTTGATCAGAGGGCTGCAGCACCTCCACTACAGAGACAGGCTGAGGGAGCTGGCCTTGTTCAGCATGGAGAAGAGAAGCTGCGGGGTGAATCATTGCAGCCCTCAGTACCTACAGGGAGCCTACAAACAGGAGGGGAGTCAGCTCCTGGAAAGGGGAGATGACAGCAGGACAAGGGGAAATGGTTTGAGTTGAGGGAGGGAAAATTGAAATTGGATGTCAGGGGGAGTTCTTTACTATGGGAGTGGTGAGGTGCTGGAACAGCTGCCCAGAGAGGCTGTGGATGCCCCGTCCATCCCTGGAGGTGTTCAAAGCCAGGTTGGATGGGGCCCTGGGCAGCCTTTGCTGCTGTGAAATGTGGAGGTTGGTGGCCCTGTGTGCAATGAGGGGTTGGTGCTTCGTGATCCTTGAGGTCCCTTCCAACCCAAACCATTCTATGATTCTGTGTGATTCTCTGAGCAGCCATGAACTCACAGCCTGCTGAGGAATGCACTCCAACAACAGTTCAATAAGGACTTTTGAGCCAAGGTGCCTGGCTGGGTGGGTAAACCCACAGCCTGCTGTGGATCTTTGCTCCCATCTGCGTTTCTATCAGGATTGCCCCAACCCAATGCCTGCACTCAGCCTTGGGAACCTCACTGGTTCTCATGTGCCCACTTTTGGAGCCCACATCCCTCTGGATGCCATCCCTCCCTTCTTCTGCATGACAGCCCCACTCAGCTCGCTGCCATCAGCAAACTGCCTGTGCCACTGGTAGCAATGCTGAAGAGCATCAGCCCCAAAATGGACCTCTAGGGGACAGCAGCAGTCCCACTTAGCACACAGAGCCTCTGAGCACCACCCAACCATCCTTCCCCACATCACATCACCCACTGTGCTCCTCCCACTGCCCCCATACCTGACTGAGCCAGGCGGTCCCTGGCATTGTGGCACTGGATCTGCTCTATTCTGTTGCACAGCGACGTCACTTTGGTATGTAAGCGCTCCAGCTCGTATGTGGAACAATCCAGCTGGAAGTAAAGGAGAGCAGACACAGCTGAGAGCCACCCAGAGCCTCCTGCAGGGATCACCCCAACCACCCGGCTCCACTAAGCCACATCTGTCCCACCAAATGCACCTTAAAACCTGAGATGAGCACCCGAAGTGCCAAAGGGGAATCCTGGAACTGAATTAAACAGGACTGGACTTGTTCAGCCTGGAGAAGAGAAGGCTGCGGGGTGAATCATTGCAGCCTTCAGAACCTAAAGGGAGCCTACAGACAGGAGGGGAATCAGCTCTTGGAAAGGGGAGATGACAGCAGGACAAGGGAAATGGTTTGACGTTGAGGGAGGGAAGATTGAGGTTGGATGTCAGGAGGAAGTTGTTTGCTGTGAGAGTGGTGAGGTGCTGGAACAGCTGCCCAGA